GGTTAACTTTAGTATCTGGAACGTGTGTTATTATTTTGTTTTATATGTAAACCTTTAGTTTCCCTTATCCTCACTCACTAGCTCTTGTATATTTGGTAATAAATTTATTTTTGTTGTCACTACTAATATATCTCAATGCTAGGGTATTGCTGATTCTGAGCTGAATCATCCAGGCAAGTGTGTATGCTGTTCCTTTGAGGACAGCAGCAGTGTTCCCTGTAAGTTGAGTGCCTGGGCAGACACCCAGGAAAGATTTAAATGCTGCACAGCTGATTAGCAGAGCACCCACAGTGCCCAGAGACAGCCATATGTATTTTTATTGGTGGTACACATCCACACATGCCTTGGTGCACACAACAAAATTCATCCTACACCTGGATGAAAACATTAGAGGGAACACTGAACAGCAGCCCTGGCATTTTTGGGATAAAAGATTGGACACAACATGGGAATGGGCTGCATCTATTGCTAACCTGTAAGGCAAAGCAAGGGCTACCAGAGTCCAGAGAAGAATACCTGTATGGCTAATGCTTAAAATTAAGCATAAGCAAGACTCACTCTTGCTGGATACATAGGGATAACAAGGTAACTCTCAGTCCCGGGCACCCTGAGCCATCATGGGTGGCAAATTTATACTGTGTGTACTAGGAGATAGGCTGAGATCCACAAAACTCATCACACAGAATCACCCAGAAGACTTATGATTGTTCTGTCCCCACATCTTTAACATAGATCATAGAACTGGAAGAGACCTGGAGAGGTCATCAAGTCCAGTCCCCTGCCCTCACGGCAGGATCAAGCACCATCTTAAGTTGCAGCCCTTGGCATGAACTTAAGAGTATCATTGTGGGCCCCAGTGCTTTCAAAGTTGAGTAGCCCAGTTCTAGACCATCCCCAACAGCTGTCTGTCCAACCCGCTCGTCAATTTCTCCAATGATGGAGATTCCACAACCTCCCTAAGCAATTTATTCCAGTGTTTATCCACCCTGATAGGAAGTTTTTCCTAATATCCAACCTAAAACTCTGGGTGCAATTTAAGCTCATTGTTTCTTGTCCTACCATCAGAGCCCCTCTGACATGAGCCCCCAGAAGAGTCAATCTAGCCCTAGGTTGAGAGTCTTGCCACCTCTCTCCCTGCAGGGCTGGAGCCTGAGGGAACCCTGGTGCCTGAGTTGCAGGAGTGAAAGTGCGTATCATTTGGGGACCAGGTCAGTGAAAGGTGGGGTTTTGCATCTCACTTGTGTGGTCCCTGACTGATTTTTGGGGGCAGGGGTTAAGTGGCCCCTCCAACTCCAAAAAGGTTCCTACCCCTGCCCCGTGGGGAGAGGCCTTTAGGTTTTTCAGTGAGACAGCTGTGGAACGGGGCTGAGGAAAGGGGAAATTGCTGCTCTGTCCTAGCTCAGGCAGGTATGACACTCCCAAGAGGAGCCAGATATGAGGCGCCTCCCACCACCTGCCCTGAGCACGAGGGAGTCTTGGCTCTGTGTGCTGGGGATCGAAGTCCCTGAAGCCCCTAGCCTCTGGCAGCACAAGTCTAGCCTTCCTACACAGGCAGCAAATGACTCCCTCCCGAGCCTTCACCAAGTGGTTCCACAGGGCCCAGGCACAGTACGCTTGCAGCAATCCCAGGCTGCCTAGAAGCACTCTCCCAAGTTTACGTTCCGTGCTCATCAGCAGGCAACCTCCCTGGATTGGTCTCCCCTGTATGCCAATACCAGATGTCCCAAAGGGAGGGAACACAATAGATAATCCTGACATGATCCCTCGCCTGTCATCCATTTCCAGACAAACAGAGGCTAGGGACACCATTCCTACAGTTCAAGTCCTAGTTTTCACAATATCCTCTAGCAAGGAGTTCTACAGGTTGACTGTGCACTGAGTGAAGAAAAACTTCCTTTTGTTTGTTTTAAACCTACTGCCTATTTATTTCATTTGGTGACTTTAGTTCTTATATTGTAGGAATGAGTAAATAACTTTTCCTTATTCATTTTTTCCACGCCACTCATGATTTTATAGACCTCTATCATATCCCCCTTAGTCTCCTCTTTTCTAAGCTGAAAAGTCCAAGTCTCTAATCTCTTCATATGGGACCTGTTCCAAATCCCTACATTTTTGTTGCCTTTGTCTGAACCTTTTCCAATGCCAAGAGATCTTTTTGAGATGAGGCAACCACATCTGTATGCAGTAGTCAAGATGTAGGCATACCATGATTTTATATAGGCAATAAGATATTCTGAACAGCTCTTCTCTGAGACAGCCTGAGCACCTCTGCTGGTGACTCAATGCAGCCTTCAGGGACACATCGACCATATGTGCACACAGCACTGGACACAGGACCGGTTCCCACAGTTCATAGCCAGAGAGACACTGCTCATGCACCGTTCTTTAGGGAACCATAATACGCATTCTTAGAGCCAGGGTTTTAGCCTGTCAGCCTCGCGCATGGCAGAACTGGCCACAGACTGCACACTGGTATCTCATGGCACACGGGAAAAAGCCTCACACAGGCCACTCCTGTGCAAAGCCCCAGCCCACATGCTCCTTTCCTGAGTAATGTTCCCAGCAGTGCCCAGCAGCTGCTAAAGGCCCAGGGCAGGAGAGGGTAGTCTAGACTTGCACTGGATGGCAAAATCCCTCTAGCGCACATGGTGCAGAGCCTGGTGCAGCCACATCAGCAGGGACGGAATTGGGTTAGGAGCAGCCACAGTAGGGCATCATAAGCTGAATTTAGGTTTTATGTAAATGGAATTAAACCAGCAGAGCTGTGTCTCATACTGTCAGATGCACCTAAGCCTTAGTTTCAAAGTGATTAAGGCATACCTTTGAAAATGGGTCTTAGGCACTTTTGAAAGTACTGCTCTGTGTAATGTGCTGAGTGAAGATTGGGTCCACGAAGCCCTTCCTGCAGAGGCATGGCTGGCCCACTCCATGCTAACAGCTCTTCTCAAACCTTGGTACACAGCTTGGCTCAAAAAGCAGCACAGGGAGGCAATGTCATCCACTTTCCTGTTTCCATTGCTGCAGCAGTGCCTCCAGCTCGCTGCTTTGTTGTAGGACTCATTTGTACCAAGAAGTGCAGACATCACAGCATTGCGGAGGCCACCCTTCACTCCAAACTGCTGGGACTCTTCTGGGCCACTCGAGGCTTTCTGCAAATGTCTGCCGGGGGAAATGGGTTGTGCCTGGCTGTCAAAAGCAGGGGTGAGGAACTTTTTTGGGTCAGAGGCCAGTGACCCACAGAAAAATAATTTGGGGGCTGCACAAAAGTGAGGGGGAAAAACCCCACCTCACTGACATGGCCTCCAACTAAGAAGCAGAAAGACACTCCCCACATTCCCCTCGCACACCAGAGGGGCCTAGGCTGGGTAGGAGGGAGGGTGCAGGAATGGATTGGGGGTTAATGGGTTCGGGGTGGGAGGAAGGGTGTAGAAGTGGGCTGGGGACTGGAGATCTGGGCAATGTGGGGGGCACTTACCTGGTGCACCTCCCTACGGATGTATATGGTTCCGTGTCCTGTGCCACTCCCAGGCACTGCCCCCTACTGTTCCTATGGGCCATGACTATGGTCAGAGCGTTGGGGGAAAAGTCTCCAGACAACGCTTTGCTGTGCTGCTGTTTCCCCCGTGAAGGGGTGTGACTGCGTTTAGCCGCTTCCCCTCTCTGACCACCCTGGCCAGGCAGAGCCTGTGTGTTGGATCCAGCCCTAGGCTTGCCTGACTCCAGCCCATGAGGCTCAAGGCTCACTGCAGTGGGGAGGTGGAAGAGCCCTAAGCCTCGGAGGCCAGATCCAGGCAAGCTGGGGGCCTCATTTGGCCCCCAGGCCTGAGGTTCCCCAGCTGTGGTCAAGAGGGAAGCTAGATGTTCTTAGTCCCGGGTGTGCCAGCAGGATGTGTGCACGGCAACAAACAGATGCCAGCAGTGGGAGCTGGGATCTCTCCACAGAATGGAAAGAGCTGGAATGCCCCCAACTTAAAGCAAGAATTACTGTGGCCACTCTGACAATAAGAACACTATAAAGCTGCCTTACATCAACCTCTGTAACGTACACCAGGCCTTAGTCTAGTCCTTGTCCACCCACTACCTCATACCAGGGAAAACAAGCACACTAATTCCCACTGTGTCACTAGGGGAGAAGAGATTAGAATAATGCAGATGGCAACACCCCTAGAAAGATGTAAACTGCTCCAGGAGGTAGGAGACACTAATTCAGCCTGGATTCTCTATACAGCAGCAAACAAAAGACAATGTTTCAGCAGCCTGTGTTTGAACTAACTCAAGGTTTTCTTTCTGATCCAGAAAAACACCAGAACATTCTGTCCAACAGGGCCCCAGCCCTTCTGGAAGAATTGGAAAGACTGACACTAACCAGAGCTCATGTGTAGGTTGGAGCTGGTAAAGAACCTGCACATGTGCTAATAAGCTTAATTGTTGCTCATGCTGTCTCTATGATGCCTGTGCCTTAAGTATAAGTCTACTTTCTTAGAGACCATTGTGTCAGAGGCTGTGTTGTAAGCAGCAACATCGAGGAGAAAATCCAGGCCTACTCAGCCCATTTAGCTCGCTGGGGAAAGCAGTGTATAACTGCACAGCCTGGAAAACACCATGCAGGAGTGAGAGGCAGGCAGGTCTGTGCCCAAGAGAGGGGACAGCTGAGAATCCAGAACCCTAGAGAGGGTGCCTTTGTAGATCAAAAAGGAGGAATATAGGTACAATTGCCCTGAATAGATACCACCCACCTGGCATGCAAGAACATATGCCATCCAAGTCCTAGGTTGTATCTAGATCCCCTGGGAGGAGGTATGCCTGATCCCTTGCTTGAGTCCTGCCTTGGAGGATGCCTTCCCCCTCCACAGCCCAGCCCTCCCTTTGAGAAACAGCTTGCTAGATTTAGAGGCAACCGACTCCTTCTGGTTGCCCACGGAGGCACCATGAGAACTCTGCCCTGCCAATTCCAGCACCAGTTTTGCACCCCTTCATAGCCTAAGGACGCTGTGACTCCATTAGGGCTTGTACCAGTCTAAGTTTATTCACATGTTTTCATAGAAATGCCAGGCTTAAGTAAAGCTGTAACAAATCCGGAGTGGCTGTTAATGGGCCTCATAAACAGGCATGGAGGGGGCAAGGAGGCCTTCAACACAGCATCATTCAACTACACTCAGACAAGGTTGACTCCCCTGCCACACTCTCCCTGTACCATGCAGTAGCCAGGCTTTGAAGGAAAGGGGAGGTGGGAAGGAGTGCACAGAGGAGCCCATCTGGCCCATGCTGCCTGTCCTACATGGAACTTCAAACCGCACATTAGAAGAAAGGGAGTGGGGCAGGTACCTGGACACCTGGGGATTACCAGCACAAAGTTCTGCTTCCTCGAGGCCCAGGTATATCCTGACTGAGAGGTGGCAGAAAGCTATGGCCTTGACTCCCCAACTTCCTGCACTGAGAAAGGAGTCCCCCATAGGTAAGTGCCATGAGCAGCAGTACCCTATAGCACAGCAGAATTCATGGCGTGCTTCCCTGTGAAAGTGCAGTTATGGCTGCTAAAACGGGGCGTCAGCCTCATGGAAGAGAATGTGGATTGTGTGCTGCCCCTTGCCCAAACTCTGCTTATCATGAAGAGAATCCAGCTGAAACACACTAGCTAGTACCCTCAGGGGACAAACCACCAGCACAGAAAGGATGTTATACAACAGTGTGTTTCAATGGCCAGGCTGGACCAAGAACAAGGCGCACACAGAGGAAAGAGGCTGCACAAGGCAGAGGTGAGGAACAGCTTGAAGACAAAAAGCAGAACAGTTGAACTAAGCTCCAGTGGCTACACTGATGTCAGTTCCCCCATCTGCCCTGCTCTGTAGTCCAGGAGCAGAGGCCATGGTGCTGACTTGGGAGGCACAGCCAGTTCCTAGGCATACTCAAGCTGAGCAGGGCTGTGAGTGTTGTCATTCTTGTGCTCTGTACTGGGCATGCTCGCCTTCCCCTCGCCGCTGTTGCCATTATCAATGGGCTTCGCAGAGATGTAGTCCTGCACTTCGATCTCCATCCGCTTGGCTTTCAGAGCTGCTGTGTGCAGCTTCTCCAGGAAGTCTGGCATGCCTGACAGGAAAGGTAGGGTCACAGTGAGTACCACAAAAGCATCTGGACTGCTCCAGAAACAGGCTCATACCCCAACATGGTCTAGCCAGTATCTAGCACACAAAGCGAGCACTCAGCCCTGCCATACCCAGGCTGTGCCATGTCCCCCTACCCCCAAGCTAGTGAGTCACCTAATTAAGAGGCAAGAATAAGTATAGGAACCAGGATCTCCCAGCTTGGTGGCCGATTCACTCTGATCTCAAGACAAAGAGGCACAGTCTAGTTTGGGGGGGGGGGGGGGGCAGGGACACCA